GCGCAGGGTGGTGAGGGTCAGCGGCGTGAATGAGGAGGTGAAGTCGGCACTTATGACCTCATGTAGTGGTTAGTAACGCCGGCGAGGGCGTGGGAAGGTGTTATCAGTTCGGGTATGAACCTCCTTGGTGAGTGGCAGAACTCACACCCACCTCCCAGGCCCAGGCTCCAGGGAAACCCGTCAGTTGGCGCTGTGGTCCAGGTAACACTTGAGAGGGTGTCCTCAGGGAAGTGAGTTAAAGCCTGTGATTAAGCGTCAGCCTATGAACCAGGAGGTCAGGGTTCAATTCCCGTCTGGGCATAAGCCACATTTGGGCTAGATCCCTCTGCAGGAGGCAGCCGATCAGTGGTTCTCTCTCATCATTGGTGCTTCTCCTTTCTCTCTTTCTCCCTTCCTTTCTGAAATCAATAAAAATATACTAAACCAGGTTTTAAAAAAAACTTTTTTTAAAAAAAAAAAAAAAAAAAAAAAAAAGCCAAGCCCCCAGATTTGCATTGGCTGTGAAGTCAAGGAGAATTACTATGTTTAGGTGTTTGTGGTTATGTTCACTGTTTAAGTCGCAGATATTTGCAAGATAAAACGTTTATTTCCAAAAAAGTCCCAGGTCTCTCTCCATGTGGTGCCCAGATATGTACCACCGTTGACCTCTCCTAAGAGCCTGGTGAACGCCAGACCAGGAGTGTTTTACTTACAAACCTTTATAGTCCTCAGTGACCCATTACCAAGATATTATGTTAGGAAAATCTTAAACTTTGCAGCCTCTTGAGGTAATGTATATACCTGCCTTCCAAGAAAGCATTTCCCCTTATTTTCCTAAGCTCATCTTGTTTGTAGACACTGGATTTAAATGAGATGACGTGTGTGGAAAGCACTGTGCACAAATGCAGTAATTATGTGTAAGCCGCATATAATAACTCCTATAGTTGTTGAAACTCAAGGAATGTAGGATAGTGTGGCCCGATCGGACAGTCTCCAGTTTTTACTGATTTGTTCAACAAATAGTGATTGAGTGCCCACCACCATGAGCCAAATCTTGAAGGGCCTTGTAGTCTGCAAATAATTTGAACTTTACTTTATAGGATTCCCTATTAGATAACAATCTTAAAAAATTTTTGGGTGGAGGCATGGTGTGGTTAGACTGGCACAGAAATGGCTGGAGGGAGGCTAAGACAGGAGTTGGGGAAGTTATTCAGTTCTGTGGTTTTCAAATTAAATTTTAAAACAAAGCCTGTCACAGAACCTCAACATATAAAGTCGATGAAAACTTGTGCTTTATCACTAAACATTCGAAAGTTCAAAATTTTAACATTACCTTTGTAGGTAAATTTAAAAAACAAAACAAAAATGAGGTTGGTTTGTTGTTGTCTTGCGGGGTTTCTTTTTGTTTTTAGCAAAAGGGAATTAATTGTAAGGAAATTGGGCAGCTAAAATAATAAATACAAAGTCTTCAGACCACGCTCAGAATATGTATTTTTGGGCCTCACTGCCACTGGACCCTTGCCCCTGCTGCTTCTGTGCTTGAAACATTTTTTTTTTTTTTTGAAGTTGGAGGTTATGGACAATTGCAGTCATAGCTGCCTAGGGACCGTTTATTTCTTAGGCCTCTGTTTTGGTTGTATCCTATTAAGAAAATTCTGATCCCGAGAAGTAGATACAAATATGAGTGGTTTTCAAATGATTCATCTTGGAATCTTGGGCATGGGTTTCAATTACAAAGATGGCAGGTGGAGATGAATTCTGGGTCTACACCAGTGGCGGCGAACCTATGACACGTGTGTCAGGGGTGACACGCGAACTCATTTTTTTGGCTGATTTTTCTTTGTTAAATGGCATTTAAATATATAAAATAAATATCAAAAATAGAAGTCTTTGTTTTACTATGGTTGCAAATATCAAAAAATTTCTATATGTGACACGGCACCAGAGTTAAGTTAGGGTTTTTCAAAATGCTGACACGCCGAGCTCAAAAGGTTTGCCATCACTGGTCTACACTGAAGTGACTTAACCTCAAATTAATGTGTGGGCAGTTTTGCAATATGTTAAATTTTGGCAATACAAAAATCTATTTTAAAAAATGAAACAAATCAAATATTTGTGGAGCCTCTGAAGTATGTCTCAGAAACCCTAGATTCTTTGGCATACACTGTAAAACCACTGATCAGGAGAAGCGGAGACTTGGAAATGTTTCACTGCATTTTCTCATGAAAGCTTAGGAAAAGGGCTAGGGAACTGAAGGATTTCTGTTGCAAAATGCTCTCTTGGAAAAACCTCATCAATGATGATTTTCCTAATCCAACGCTCTTTGACTATCTTTGTTTTCTAAGGTAGGAAATTCCTCCAAGCAGAGGTGATAGCTAGGGGACCACACCCAGGTAGTCAAGAGTGTTTGAACAAAATATTGCCCTAACCTGATGATTCCGAGCTGGAGAACATGACTTCTAGAGATTTCTTTTCTTTTGACTTTCATAATTGAGAGAACATACTTTCTCAAAAAACTCACACCTCAGGGTCAGATGCTTGATTTTCTTTTCAGTTTCAATTCTCGATGGCCATAAACAAAGGGGCTTAGAAGTTGATATTCAACAGCCTAAGTAAATGTTTAAAAAACACTGTGGCCAACAATAAAAAATAAATATGTGAATACTTAGTTTTCTACAGAGCATGGAGAAATGGCATATCCATTAGAAAGCACCTTAAAAATGTTAAGAGTGACACTGTGCAGAGCACTTAGCATGTACATGGTTGTATCATGCGGCTCCTAGAAAGGATTTAGCCTTCTTGTTTTAGTTTTGAAGACACCTAGGACATTGTGGATGTTCAGAACATACTAAAAGTTAGTTTTACAAAATTGATAATATAGAATATATTAAAATTAAGACTGTTCATTAATGGCGGGGGGAGTCAATTGGGGGAAAAGGAGACATATGTAAAACTTTAGACAGTAACAAAAAAAAAGAGAGAGAGTGAAAAGGTAATCCACAGAGTGGGAGAAGTTAGATCTGACAAAGCATTTGGAATCTAGAACAAATCATTAAAAAAGACAATCCAGCCCTAGCCGGTTTGGCTCAGTGGATAGAGCATCGGCCCGTGGACTGAAGGGTCCCTGGTTCGATTCTGGTCAAGGGCACATGCCCAGGTTGCGGGCTTAATCTCCAGTAGGGGTGGTGCAGGAGGCATCCAATCAATGATTCTCTCTCATCATTGATGTTTCTATCTCTCTCTCCCTCACTCTTCCTCTCTGAAATCAATAAAAAATAAATAAATAAATATATTTATATTTTAAAAAGATAATCCAATAAAAAGGACAAAATATTTGAATGGACTCTTCACAAAGGAGAATGTCTGAAATAATCATTAAAGGTGAAAATGACTTAATTTCAATAATCATCCACAAAATGGAAATTAAAACCACAATGCAATGCCATGACACACTCACCAGAGTGGCTAAAATAGAAAAGATAAAAAGTACTAAGTGTTGGTCAAGAAATGCAGCTATTATACACTGCTGGTAGCCACTTTGGAAAAATTGGAGGGAGTGTATATTACAGGTGAATATATAGGCATACCTTGTTTTTTTTGCTTTTTGCTTTATTGCACTTTACAGATGTTGTGTTTTGACAAATTGAAGGCAAGACCGTCCATCAGCAAAAGGATTGCCGAACCTGCAATGTCTCTGGGGTATGCCTGTAAGCATTCCTTATTGCCCAGCATACCATTTCTAGGTAGATATTTGTATCAGTGTGCTCAGGCTGCCATCACAGACTCGGCAGTTAAATAACAGAAATTTATTTCTCACTGTTCTGGAAACTGGTAAGTTTAAGATCTAAATGCCAGCCGATGGGGTTCTTGGTGAGCGTTTTCTCTTTGGCTTGCAGCTCCGTCTTACTGTATCCTCCCATGACAGAGAGAGCTAGTTCTGGTGTCTGTCTCTTTCTCTTCTGATAAGGGCGCCGGCCCTTATGACTTCATTTAACCTTTATGACTTCCTCATGGACCCTATCTCCATATATAATCACATTAGGTATTAAGGTTTCAACAGGTGAATTAGAAGGGACATCAATATTCAGTCCATAACAGTAACCAATAGAAACTGTGTGCATATGTTCTCTAAAAGACATACTGGAATATTCATAGCAACACTATTTATATTTTTAATATCTGACCTAGAAATTACTCAAATGCCTATCAAGAGTAGAGCAGATAGACAAATTGTGGCATATTCACATGGTGGGATGCTATACAGCAACGAGAGGGAATGATCTAATATAGAATCACACACAATGTGCATGAATCTCACAAACATAAGCGTGAAAGAAGCCAGACATTCAAGTACCTACTATATAATTTCATTTATATAAAGTATAAAAACTGGCCACAACTCATTTATGCTGGGAGGAGACAGGATAGTGGTCATTCTTGGCAAGGTGGGGAAAGAGAGGGCTAGTGACTGGAAGAAGTATGAGGAGACTTCTGAGAGACTGGGATTATTCTCATTCTTTTATTTCATCTTTTATTTCTATAGCTTTTTAAAAATAATAGACTTTATTTTAAAGTGTCGTTTTAGACTTACAGCAAAATAAAAGTACAGAGATTTATTATCTACTAGAGGCCCAGGGCACAAAAATTTGTGCACTCAGGGGTGTCCCTCAGCCCGGCCTATGCCCTCTTGCAGTCGGGGACCCCTCGGAGGATGTCCACCTGCTGGCTTAGGCCTGCTCCCTGGGGGATCGGGCCCAAGCTGGCAGTCAGACATCCCTCTGGCAGCCCAGCAACCCTTGGAGGATGTCCACTTACCAGCAGGGAGCAGGCCTAAGCTGCAGTCTGACATCCTTAGCACTGCTGAGGAGGCGGGAGAGGCTCCCACCACCACCACTCTACTGGCAGCCATCAGCCTGGCTTGTGGCTGAGCAGAGCTCCCCTTGTGGGAGTGCACTGACTACCAGGGGGCAGCTCCTGCATTGAGTATCTAACCTCTGGTGGTCAGTGTGTCATAGTGACCAGTCATTCCCAGTCATTCTGCTGTTAGGGTCAGTTTGCATATTACCCTTTCATTATATAGGACTCCTGCCCACACAGGAAAAGCCTCCCCTGTTATCAACATCCCCCACCAGAGTAGTACATTTGTTACAAATACTGAATCTACAAATTATTCTGTTTCTTGATATGGATTCTAGTTAAATGGGTGTATTCAGTTAGTGGATTCATATATATATATATTGATTGATTTCAGAGAGGGAGAGCGAGCAACATCAATGATGAGAGAGAATCATTGATCGGCTGCCTCCTGCACACCCCCTACTGGGGACCAAGCCCGCAACTCGGGCGTGTGCCCTTGACCAGAATCAAACCCAGGACCCTTTAGTCTGCAGGCTGACGTTCTATCCACTGAGCCAAACCAACTAGGGCAGTTAGTGGATTCTTTGAACATATATGTGCACTTTTCTGTATGTATATTATACTTGAATAAAATGTTTGAAAAAAAAGGCTTGGGGCAGTGGACAGGGGTGGGATGGAAGGAGTCACTGGGGGAGAAAAGAGGACATATGTAATACTTTCAACAATAAAGTGGGTTTTTTTAAAATTTTGAAAAAAACCCAATGAATTCTACTGGTAGTGTTATATATTAACACATGTTATTTGTGTTTATGAATAAGTAGGTACAGCAAGCATGTCAAACTTGCAGCCCGTGGGCTACATGCCTCATTTATTTGGCCTGTGTTAGCCTTTGAGTTTGATATGCTTGATGTACAGAGAACATATATATAGTGGACATGACCCAAACATGACCTTGTACATATATAGAATATTTATTATCATCTTGTTTTTACAGCCTTACTGAGATCCTGATTTATTCACATTTTTCTAATGTGATTTAAAAGAAAGTAGGGTAGATTTTAATTCACTGCTATTCTCAGAGGGAGAATTATAGGCAAGAAGTGGGTGAATATGTCAACATGTAGGTAAAAGAGAAAAGACTTATGAAAAAAGGATAGAAATGTTTACACTTAGGATTTCACCTACAATTTCCAGTTTGAGGCTTAAGGACTCCTGGGTGAAGGAAAGAAGGATCATGGAGATGATTCATATTCCAGCTTGCTTTGGAACTTAAAAACAGACCTGCCAAAAGAGCCACCCAAATCTGCTTAATGGCTCAGTGCCTTCTAAGCCAAGCTCAGCACCAGAGGAGGTGGTGGTGAGTTACCTCTACAGCTGGATGAATGCTCATTAATTCTCCCCTCTCCCATCAGTGGCAAACACCAATTGCTGCTCCATTCCTGTAGCTTGTGTCTGCCCTGGCAAGGACAGTATAATATTGGTTTTATGCAAGGTTATCTTCATGGAAGTTCTTCGTGATGGCAGAAGTCATTAGGAAAGGAAGGAATTGCTGTCTTCTTATCTAGATCTTATTGAGGCTTTCTGTGGAACTGATTGATGTCCTGACAGCCCCCCAAGGAGTTGGCTGGCAGCTGGGACTGCTGTTACAAAAAGTGGCAAGAAGAATTATTCTGGTGAAACATTATACTGTGAACATAGTGGGTACAGAATCTCATCCAAAAGCATCTGTCTAAATTACTCTCAAGTTTGCCCTGACTGGAATGTAAACTTCCTAAGGTCAGAGATTTATGTCTGTTCTGTTAACCTTTGTGATCCAGCATCTATGACAGTATTTGGCATATGGTTGGTACTCATTGAATAATAATTTTTAAGAAGTGGGTAAAGTTAATAACATATATATAAAAGCCTAAGTGACTGTTATGACCGAACAACTGGAATGACCAGACCTGCTGGTAGCTATGATGCGCACTGACCCAGACCTTGCTGCTGGGGCCCTGACAGCCCCGAATCTGGTTCACCCACACCTCGGACCCAGATAGGAAGGAGGGAGGAGGGAGCCTGATTGCTCATGGAATCAGCTGTTGGTTAGCTTGCTGCTGGGGCCCTGACAGCCCAAATCTGGTTCACCTGCACCCTGGACCCAGACAGGAGGGAGGAGGGAGCCCGATTCCTTGCAGAGTCGGTGGTTGGTTAGCTTGCTGCTGGGGCCAAACTCCTGCGGTCCCTCCGCCCAGCTGGCCAGCCTCCCAATTGGCCCCTATTTCTGGCCAGACCAAGGGACCCCACCCATGCACAAATTCATGCACTGGGCCTCTAGTCCATAATAATAAAAGCATAATATGCTAATTAGATTGGACAGCTGAACAACCTTCCAGACATCATTCCAGATGTCCTTCCAGATGAAGCCGCAGTGGCAGGGGCTAAGGCAGAGGCAGTTAGGGCTGATCAGGCAGGCAGGTGAGCGGTTAGACGCCACCGGTCCTAGATTATGAGAGGGATGTCCGACTGCCAGTTTAGGTCTGATCCCCAAGGGGTCCTGGATTTGGAGAGGGTGCAGGCTGGGCTCGAACTACTGATTGCTGTAGTGCACACTGACCACCAGGGGACAGATGCTCAACACACAGGATTGGGCTCCCTCCTGTCTGGATCAGACCTGTGGGGATAGGGCTGAAACTGGCTATCCGACATCCCCTGAGGGGTCCCAGATTGCGAGAGGGCGCAGGCCAGGCTAAGGGACCACACCGGTGCATGAATTCGTGCACCAGGCCTCTAGTAATAATATAAGTAGTGTGTTTGAGGGATATTGGGGGGTGGAGGGGAAACTTACCATATAGGGTCAGTGGTTTTAATTAAAATTCTAATTTTGGTAGTTGGAGAAGTTAAACTACAGAATAGGTAAGAAACTTATCCAAAATCATATACAAGAATCAAAATTCTGGCCTTCTAGTTTTCAGGGAGCTTTTCATTCAGAAACATTTCTGTTCCCTTCTTCAGCCGTAGATGCTAGAATCTGGTGGTAAGGTGACATTTGTGACTTTTTGAAACCAGATGATTTATGCTGGTAGATAACAAAATCCATTTTATGGTCATGTTTCCAATATTACAAATCTTTATAATATGTAATCAATGGTTAGGGAAACATTTGAAAACATGGCCAAGTAAATTCACCTTGTCATATGGGCCATAGTTATGGTCCCAGCTTGGTGGAGCAATTCATGAATAGCATATGACATCTTGTAGTACAAATCATATATTCATATAAAATTCCTAAGATATTTTGGCTTTATTGCTGATCTTCAACCAACAGTGGCTCTTAGAGTGTTAGCTGTAAGTCTTTAGGCCCCTCCCCAGTCTCACTGTCAAGTAGCTAATGATCTATAAACAAATATGGAGATGCCCTAAGGGAGCTCTCCCTTTAAAGGCCTTGAATCATTAAATAATAGACATACTGAAGTCCACCCTGGTTTATGATTTGTCAGTTTAGGTTTTGCAGTGACTGGTATTTTCAGATGGGACAGGTTTTTAATTTGCTGTACAATAACATTAAATTTTATCTGATTTTTTCCTTCTGGAGAAAACTTTCAAAAATGTTCATCTACATTTGCAGTTTCCATGCTATGAAATATGTTTGTATTTGTATGTGAATAGGAGACGCATTTCAGTTTCTTAAGCTAAAAGTGGCCATAGAGGATAATAAAATCAACATAATATCTACCAGTTCCTGAGAGCTTGCTCCTGCTAGATAGTTTATATATATTGTCTCATTTAAACAATGTTCCAAAGCATGGTTTCATTTTCCTCATTTTCAAGCTGAGGAAACAGAATGTCAGAGAGGTTAAAATAGCTCCCTGCAGCCAGGTGGTGGAGCTGGGATTTGAATCTACACTGAAGGGACTAAAAACTTAGATGGAAATGTAGCTGACACAATTGAACATTCCTTTGATGTTGCACAATCAGTAAGGGCACAGGAACTAGCATATAAGTTCCAAAATATGGTCTATCTAGCCCAGAAGTCTGCCTGGCTCAAAGGAAATTTTGGGGTGACCTACATGATGACTTTCAA